TTTGAATTTTGTTCTCCCCAGTGTTGGTGGTTCGGGGACAAATTGTATTTAAATGAACTTACTTTCGTAAAATGTCTTGCTTTGTTTGTGTTTCAGAATAATGTTGTTGGAAAAGGAAATTAAATGATAATATGTCCGAGTGCTGTTGCCGGAAAATCAAGATTTTTTTTTTAAATTACTGTCATGAATTTGTTTTTGCGTATCTGTTAACCGACTTAATTAGTTGATTATTAGCGAATTGCTGTGTTATGTCTGTCATCGTTCAGGCCTATTTGAAGTTTTGGACGGAACTTGGCTCAGTGATTTGGAACTAATTACCAGATAACCGTCGCGATTCTGACAGTTGGTATTCCATAGTTATTAATGTAGTGAACGATTAATCAAAAGATATGACGTATTCAGTACTTAGTGTGATTGGCTTTATGATTGAAGGTTACGCCCTAGAGTCTTGTACTGTTTTGTAATTGGTTAGAGTTTTGAAAATGAATAAAGAGAGTTTGAGTTGGTCTTGGGGAGCAGAGCACGATAGACGCAGTCGAGAGGCAGTCCTGGAGTGCTCCAAAAGATTGACTAAGACGAGAGTTGAAACGTATTTCGTTGTGTGTGCTTTATTTGACTGTAAAGTTAAAGTGACTTTCCCGATCCCGTACCTCAAGGGGACGAGATATAGAGACGAGACGAGATTCCCCCCTGACGCGTGTGGAGACCCAGAGGAAAAGAAATTACCCCTGATACGTGGTGTGAGAACCCTGGGCATTGCGTCTTACGCACATTAACATCCTGTGAAGAGAAGTGAAATGGCGAAGATGTGTCTTTCTTGCGAACCGAACTAACTTGCTCGATGGCAGAGACGACTCAGAAACTGCGCTTGACGACTAACGGCTTTACCCGAACGGCACCGATGAACGACGCTGAAGAGATGAAGATTTCAGAACCCATTATGAAGGACGAATATCGTATAGGACTGTATAATTAAGAATTGAGCGACATTAAAGACAAGATGACAAAGAACGACCCGGAATAACGCGACAAGAGAAGAGACGCTTATAGACTTTGACTTTAGCTATCTGTGTATTGCTTAGAGAACCACTCATTGGACACTGTAACGGACTGGACGCTGTATAACTCAAGACGTTGAACTCTCTTTTCCAGAACCCTAACCCTATTGCTTAGTAATGTAATGTATTGTTTGCTTTTTCTATCTTTTTTCTTACCGTTTTTTTGTGATGTTGAATTGTATGTGTGTAGGCGCCCAGATCTTTGTTTTGAACTGATATTTGATGACGTGCGAGGTCCTTTATAACGATTTAAGCGCGCCTCAGTGGACAAGTATTTGCAACACAGTGATTTGGAGTTTTGTGAAGTTTTATGGAGTTTTAATGAGTTAATGTGTAAGGATTATGAGGGGGAGAGTGATGCCCCCACGAGTTTTTCAGAGTTTTGAGATTTGTCGAGTACAGAGATATCGACGTTTTAAGAGTTGTTTTTGTTTATGTGTTGTTTCCGGAATACTTCTGACGCTTTTTGAGTTGATAGCACCTTTGTAACGTTTTTTGATGTCTTTTGGAATGAGAGGTGGTGCGCTCATATACGTATTGTTTGATATCGCAAGCTTTTGTTCATGATTGACAGGATTATATGTAACTCAGTAGTTTCTATCGTTTTAGTCTTTTCCCGTCTTTATTGCCAGAGAAGTAATGTATTATGAAAGCGAATTTGTCTTTGCATTCTCTGTTTCCACGCCGTATGACTTTTGTTTAGATTAACGACTTGTGAGTTCAGTTGAAGTTTATAAGCGTATATGACAGGAGTTTGATTAATAGCTTTTTATTCATTGTTTATTAGTTACCGCTTTGCAATGCTTTAACCGAGAGACGCATCCCTGGTAATCACGTGATCGTGCTGTCGACGGCCGCGATTGGCTGATCGCTTGGTTATACCGCCACGCCTTAGTTTTTTTGACCTTTTGATATAGAGTTTGTAACCTTAGTAACGGAGAAAGTGAAGCGACGGGTTATGTCAGCGAACCGTTTTGAGAAAAGCGAGTCGATTGGTAGCCTTTCCCTTGTTTTTGTTTCATAACCGTTGATATTTGTGACTTTATAACCATTGTATTTAGACTTTATAATCATTGTACTTAATTAGTGTGTTTTACTCTTTTTGATTTATTCCTTTTATTAGTATTGTATTTAACCTGTATGACGATGATAGAGGACGGTATCTTTGATTTATGAACGTGTTATGCCGAGAGGCACATCTCAGTTTGGGTGAAGGGATGTGTCATGAATTTGTTTTTGCGTATCTGTTAACCGACTTAATTAGTGATTATTAGCGAATTGCTGTGTTATGTCTGTCATCGTTCAGGCCTATTTGAAGTTTTGGACGGAACTTGGCTCAGTGATTTGGAACTAATTACCAGATAACCGTCGCGATTCTGACAGTTGGTATTCCATAGTTATTAATGTAGTGAACGATTAATCAAAAGATATGACGTATTCAGTACTTAGTGTGATTGGCTTTATGATTGAAGGTTACGCCCTAGAGTCTTTTACTGTTTTGTAATTGGTTAGAGTTTTGAAAATGAATAAAGAGAGTTTGAGTTGGTCTTGGGGAGCAGAGCACGATAGACGCAGTCGAGAGGCAGTCCTGGAGTCCAGGGGCGAGCTTTGAGGCAGTCCAGTCTTGGGCTAGTCTTGGGTCAGCCTTGCGAGAGTCTTGGGGATTTTTTCCCCAGGGCGCTGTGTCTTATAGAGTGCTCCAAAAGATCGACTAAGACGAGAGTTGAAACGTATTTCGTTGTGTGTGCCTTATTTGACTGTAAAGTTAAAGTGACTTTCCCGATCCCGTACCTCAAGGGGACGAGATATAGAGACAAGACGAGATACCCCCCTGACGCGTGTGGAGACCCCGAGGAAAAGAAATTACCCCTGATATTACACAAGTATACAACTCGTATTTTCGTATTCGGTCCCAATTATATTACAATGTAATTTTGTGTGTAAATGGAGATATTGTATTGTTAAATAAAGTACGTATATTACTATATCAGTTTATTTTTAATAACGGTATACAACGTATTTTATGCATCAATGAAAAACGTAATTATGGCATTATGCCAATTTACGTAAATAAATCACATAAACAGGACTGTATTTTTCTGTTATAAAATACCATTATGATAATGTTTTTTTAAAATGACACTAAAGTTATGACATTTAAAACTGCAATACAAGCATTTTTTGGCAAACGTCACTATGACGTACCCAAGAAAGATACATATGTGGCATTTTAAAGTAACAGTATTATAACATTATAAAATTACGTTATAATATCGTTTTAAGAAAACGTTATTAGTATAATATTGCAAAGCATAATTATGCATTTTTTGCAAATGTCGTTATAACATAATTATTTACATTGTAAATGCATCATTTAGTAATGTTATAAAGTTGGACTCATTTTTGTTGTTGTTATAACGTCTTTTAAAAACGTAATTTTGATTATAACGCTATAATTACGTTTTCGATCAGCAGCTGTGTATAGACCAGGTGGCAGAGACGATCCTTTCATATGTATGACTGCTATTCTATTGGCTACAAATGTTTGAAATTTTGCCACATCATTAGTTATATACCACAACACTGTTTGGCTGTCAGTCCAAAAGAAAGACTCGTTGATTGGTATATCCAATTCCTTTTCAGTACCTTATTCATATGAACTGCTACTGTAGCAGAAGTGAAATTCCATTCTTGGAATGGAAATTTGCTTCAGTGGAGCCACTCTAGCCTTGGCCATCAAGAAGGCACAATGTACTTTTTTTTTACCACTCTTGTCAACCATTCTGATGTATGATTCAGCACCATAAACTGATTTGCTTGCATCCGAAACGTGATGTAACTTATCAACCCGTATACAACCAAATTCATTGGGCTTTATGCATCTAAGAACCTTGAACATCTCTTCCAACTTGGACAGATCACGCAACCATTTGCCCATTGTTTGCGCTGTTTCACTGAAATTTCATCATCCCAGTCCAGCTTGTCCTTGCATAAACTAGTATCATTCTGGGTGGCAGCAATATACCGAGCTAACCACTCCCAGAATGCCTCTTCTAGTTGCTGGCCATTCCCTAATGCTATTTCTGAACCCAAGATGATCTGTGCCTACGTTCCATTGTCCAAGTCTAAGTACATCACAACTTTAGCTATCTCACTTTCTGGAATGGCTTTAACCCTTTTTCAGTAAAGTCGGTGAAAAAACGCCGTCAATATGGGTGTGCTAGAATTTACTACTCCAGCTAGCTAACTAGTTAAGTTGTTGTAAAACAGTCTGCTATTTTGGTTGCTCGGATGGTCAAATGTTTATAATACCTTGTACGGAACCATAGACCCTCCAGTAGACTACTGGAGGGTCTATGACGGAACCTGATATTTTACACTAAATTATGGAGGGAAAGAATTTGTTTTCGATTCCGCCAAGTCAAATAAACTAACCGAATAATAAAGAATGTAATTCTATACTGTTCATTTCATTATTTTACCGTCACAACGCGACGTTTACGACGACATAAAAAACTTGCAGCATTACAACGGTATTTGAACGATATGATTCACGATTATCATGGTAGTAACGTATTTTGACCAGCTTGGCAAATAGTCCCGGCACTTAGAATGAATAACATGACGGATTCCAGCTGAGTTTGAAATGTCGGCAATCGCCAACGTAACATGACCGGGAAATACTAGTATTCAAGTCCACGTGATTTCACCGTCTGAGCCCATATAGCTGTGGCTGCAGACCTGCTACGAGACAGCGGGTCCACGAGAGAGAGGTCCACCACAGCGCGACCAGTCAATCTTGCACGCACAGTTGTCTGATTGGTTGTTTGATTCACAACAACGCGCCCACATATCTTTGCGTCATAACTACGTCAAAACTCAATGAACTCTGGGAAATATCGTATTCGCCGTATGATGGCGTCGTAATGCAGGTGTCCTGACATGGCATTACCAAAGGAAGTGAATCTCGCTGGCGCGGTGAGTATATGAATAACTGAAACTGTTTCAATTCACAGATATGTGATGCTCATAAAATAGAATTTGTATGTGACATGGGTAATTCTATGTCATCCTTGATTCTTAATCCTTTATGTTGTAATTATATCTCTGAATATTTTTAGCCGTATTGAGTGTGGAATATTATATTCACTTTTCACTAAAGAGTTTAAAATCTAGAGTTGTCAATTTTGATCTATTCTATAAAAATTTGTAATTTGTATTTATTTATTTATTTATTTATTTATTTATTTATTTATTTATTTATTTATTTATTTATTTATTTATTTATTTATTTATTTATTTATTTATTTATTTAACAAAATAAACTCTGGGGCAACCTTATTATTTTTTTGCAGGTTATATTAGAAACTCGAAAAAGAAAGTTGCCTATTACAAAAAGTGATGACGCCGTCAGAACAAATAAAGTATCAAAGATGTTGTCACCTCCACAAACTGAATGTCCCACTTGTAGTGGTAGGCCTTCATTATAATGGGAATAGTTGTACCATTACTATGTCTGCAGATTAGGTCCAGGAGAGCGTGATTATTGTCTGCGAACACATTATACTAGTGGTAATAAAATTATTACAGGTCTATCACATGCAGGTAGGTATAGTAATTACTTTGTAGACATGTAGTGGTGATTGGCCTTCATTATAATGGCAATAGTAGTACCATTACTATGTCTGCAGACTAGGTCCACGAGAGCGTGATTATTGTCTGCGAACACATTAAACTAGTGGTAATAAAATTATTACAGGTCTATCACATGCAGGTAGGTGTAGTAATTACTTTTAATTGTAGACATGTAGTGGTGACTGGCCTTCATTATAATGGCAATAGTGGTATCATTACTATGTCTGCAGATTAGGTCCACGAGAGCGTGATTATTGTCTGCGAACACATTAAACTAGTGGTAATACAATTATTACAGGTCTACCACATGCAGGTAGGTGTAGTAATTACTTTTAATTGTAGACATGTAGTGGTGATTGGCCTTCATTATAATGGGAATAGTGGTACCATTACTATGTCTGCAGACTAGGTCCACGAGAGCGTGATTATTGTCTGCGAACACATTATACTAGTGGTAATAAAATTATTACAGGTCTATCACTTGCAGGTAGGTGTAGTAATTACTTTGTAGACATGTAGTGGCTAAAATTTAAAACAAACATCACTGCTGATTATGTTTTGTTCGCTAAGCTTCTTTTGTGTTAGCTAGATTATGTTGTGATTTTGTTTTGTGGATACAAATCAAAGTTTAGAAAATGAATTATTTATTTATTGTTAAATAACGATCATGTATCTTGTAACGTTTCATCATGAATAAAAAAGGAAATCGGAGGCCTTTATCATTTCTAGCTCCCGGTTGTAGTTTCAAGCAATTGCACGCCCTCGTCGTACTACTAGCTCGACTGCTCGCGTTAGTCCTGCTGTGTCGGTTTTTCAGTAAAAAACGACTCGGTAAAATTTACTGGTTATGGAAAGGTTCATTATATTATTCGTAATTCAGTTTTTAAAACGTAGTTACAAACGCAGTGTATAAGTAGGGATTAAGGTTACTGGTTGCATAGTGGTTGTCGCATCAGACTCATGATCGGTAGACCCAAGTTCAACTCCTACCTTAGGCTGAACATCAAAAGGATCAACCCCTACCCTAGGTGAGTGTGCCACAGACTCAATAGGAAGGCCAATTCCACTAGCCGAGATTCATTCACTAACGAATGCGACTTTGGGGGAACCTTTGTTAAGGTCCGCAGGTGCTCGTGTTCGCCAGGATATTGCATTAAAATTGCCATTTGACAGACGAAATGGCCACACAGACCTGTCATGTAGTCCCAAACATGAATATGACTTCTGTGGCAAAATGTACTATGTGTCAGCACTAGCACTTGCAATTTGCACTAAAAAAGTCAGGATAGACAACAGTGACACTCAATGTCTAGAACTGTCAGTAAATATGTTATGAATATATGCTTCAGTGAAACCATGGCTGTTTTAAGCCATAATGTCTAAACGAAACTCCTTGAAATTGATGTTTACTGTTTGATAATGCATATATATTAGATATTATTCACATGTTCTTGACATCGACGACCGTGACGGCGACACGGTAGAAAAACAACGCCATATTCCCACGCCCTTTAACGGATATGGCAATTTGAAATCCTTAGAATCATTCATTGGTGGCAATTGTTGTTATTTTTACTGCTTTGGGACTATAATGTATTGCATATAGAACACGTTGCAGTGAGACAGAAGGTTCGGCTGATCACCGAAATGACCTAGTTCACATACTTACCGTTATATGTGAACAATCTCCATTAGCTTTCATGTTTGAATATGTTTTAAGGCAGGCGACTGTTCACGATATTGAATTTCAGTTTTGGCTTTGTCTATGTGCAAATTACAAGTGCGTGTGGTCAACCGCGTATTTATGTTAACTTGCTTCTTCCGGTCGCGAGTTCGATGCAATAACCTCCACGTTCTCCTACCTACATTAACCGGGCATTTCCAGGAATCAATTTAATTTAATTATCCCATTGATTTTTAAAGATGCATTTCCACTTTAAGTTATATGCAGAATACCTCAAACTAATATCACTATGAAAAATGATAAATCAGTTGGCATGGAAACAAATCTTGGAATATTGGAGTACTGAAGCTGGCCAGCTGGCCTGGATTGTTCATTAATTCTAAAAAATGCAAAGACCTTACAAGGGGTCGGTTTCTTTTACAGTTCCTACAACTTGGGAATGATTACAGGGGTCAGGGGGTCATTAAGGAGTTTTTTTGCAGATATTGTAACTTTTTACATTTATCTCATAAGATGGGAGCCATAAACAGACATTACACAATCATTATTCCCTACTTGATTATGGACGAAGGAAACTGTTGAGCCGTGACTTATCGCGTCCGTACTTAAACCAGACGAGCACAGAGAATAGAATGGAATGGGAATAGGAATGGGGAGGGGCTGAGGATTGGAATAGGATAGAAATGGAATAGAAATGGAATAGAAATAGAATAGAATAGAATAGAATAGAATAGAATAGAATAGAATAGAATAGAATAGAATAGAATAGAATAGAATAGAATAGAATAGAATAGAATAGAATAGAATAGAAATGATATCAGTTTATCTCGTTGGTTTAAAACTGAGTCTCAGTCTCCAAAACTGACGCTCTAAGTTGTAGTTAACAGTGGAAGTAATAATACATAATGGGCGTTTTATGAATACATCACCAACCCGTTGTTACTGCCACAACGATTTTCGATTTTTAAATCGGTTCCTTTGGTCTCGTTCGAGATTAAAAGCCACTATAAATTACAAAACCGGGGGGGGGGCTAGTCTAAATGTTGTATGATAAAGTTGACACAACATTTAGTCACAGTGTCTTTATAACTGCACATTAAGGTAGAGATGCAGTTTACCTGACAGGTATTTTAATTAGTTAATTAAGAAACCAAGATGACCTCCCTTGCCCATATATATATATATTTTCGGAAAGCTTATTGTATGAATTTTAATATTTTGTTAGTATATTTTTTTTATAGAAACTGTAGTTTGAAATATGCACAAAATGTGCTTTTTTGGTCAAAAGTGATTTAAAAAAAAAATAGCTTCTAAACCATGCTTATGTTTCCTGTCAAAATTGGTTTATGGGTACTGTTTACTATGAAGAAAGTGCCGTCTTGAAAACTGTCTACCAGTTGTCAATTTTGCAGGGCAGCAGCTCAAATTTCACTACTTCAAGTTTATTCATAAATTAACACCCAGGCTAGTTGTCTGTACGATTGCTGTAACACTGTTCAACCAAAATCAATGCCCCGATGGCGTTTTGAAGATAAACACATTGTCAATCATTTGTGAAAATCTCAAAACAAAAGGTCAAAGCGTCTAGTAGCTATTTTTTTAAAGTTCTGGGATATACACTAAACAGAAGCTGAGATAATTGCCAATTTGCATAACAATTCACTCAGTAAGAAGTTTGATAATGCTCATAATTAAAATGGCTGTAACAGTTCCAAATTTAAATGTATTATCGTTTTGTTAAAAGTTAAATATAGTGCATAATATGGAGACTCCGTCATTTCTTTTTTTCACCATGTTTCTTTTTTTATTATTTATGTACAGCCTTGCTAAATCTTGCTAAGCATTCAAAAGAGAGGATGTTTGCACCTGTTATCTATATTTTAAAATCGTTTTTTGAGTATGTTCCACTATTCACAATTCTACCAAGATAGTAAAAAGAAAAAATGAAAAAAAAATCAATCCTAAGTGCCCGTGAATCTGCATCTCTACCTTAAGTGTTTGTTTTTGATGTACTAGTACATCCAGGTTTGTGGTTAGTAAGGTTTCATTGGTGCATTAAGAATAATATCTTTTAGATTTGTAAAGAATTGTGTTGTATGCGGTGCTTTTAAAAAAAGTATCTCTAAAATTCAGGAGTAGCTGACTCTCTTGCTGTCCACTCGTCTTCTGTTATGTGTGGAAACCCGAGTTACGCTCATCACTGATAGAATGAATGCACCAAACACACACCGATGTCTCAGTCATTTGATTTGAAACAATAGTTATCAATTGGTGAGTTTAAAAACAGTTTTCAATATTATCATAATTCAAGTCATAAACGATTTCAACTGATATTGTGCACGAGGTATTGGACACAATTCACCACCCCTTCATTGATAGTGGATTGTTCCATGATAAAAATAACGCCTCTTGGGTATCTTCCAGTCACATGCGAGATCTCCCGTGAGAAGTTCATAGTTGGCACAGCTATAGGTAAGTGAGTAAATCTCAATTAAAGAACTCAACAAATACTGCAACAAAATGTTATTTTTCCGCCGCATTGTGTTGTCCACTTTGATTTAATATTTGGTCCATCAAGGTAATTTGTTGCAACCATGGAAGTAACCGACTCAGAGCGGATAATTAATCTGCTGGCCCGTACTAGTAACAGCAGAATGTCATATCAAACGGACATGGTCAGCTCCTGTAAAGCTAACAGCACTCTTCGCAAAAATCACTGTTGAATTATGGGCAGAGTCAGACAAAATTGTTTCATCCAAACTTAACATCAGCTGGACATATTACGTTTTATGCGAACGCACAGATTTCAATTTTGGCAAAAAACTACTTTTTTTTATCAAATTTACAAAAAATGACCGTGACTTTTTGTAACGACAATGTAGTTGTTTTACTGATACCATATAAGCAAGAAAAGGTACAGCGTAAAAACTTTGTGTAAAAATATATGGTTTTTTTTCTCTTTTATCGAACCGTCTATGGGAGACATCATACGTAAACGCGATCACACTCGTTTGAGCCGTCACAGCAGTATATTTACGCCTAGCACTATTTGGTTTCTACTCAGTACACTATGTCCTATTTACACAACTTTATCGATTTCAAAATAAATGCGAAAAAGAATAACTATTCACTTTGTGAAGTAAATGGTCATCTC